CAATGTATGGGAAACACAATATGTCTCCTGCATGGTTTGCTGAAGAGTATGAATTGATTGCTGTCTTTAATTAGCACCAAAGTTATTTCCAGAAAACGTATTGGAAAAATATGGGAAAATTATTTGGAAATGATGGACACTTACAACAAAACATTTCTGTGCTCGAAATATAACATATCTACATCATTTTGTGTCGTTTTCAATTACTCTTTTAAATGTCCTTCATCAATATGTCAAAAGCAAATGTAAACAAACAATAGTAAGCATACTTGTTAAGCTGAGTGCAAAAGAAAAAAAGAGCTTATTTTCTCATGTATAAAAGATATGATATATAATAAGAACAACTCTCTTTACATGACGCAATACAGATTTTATCAAGGCTTGAATTTCAAGCTTACCGCTGGGAAGCAGAAAGAATCTGTGTTTCAAGTAGAGAACCCGTATTTACCTGATTTCCCACGGGGCTTAAGCATACACCCAAAAATATTCGAAACAGACACGAGCGGAAAGCCCAAACTCTCAACATGAATATTTAGACGCACGCACGCACGCACGCACGCACACACACACACACACACACACACACACACACACACACACCGAGCGCTCTGAGGGAACGACAGCTTTCTATCCACCCTGCGCTGCTATCATGTGATTCCTCACCTTTATTCTGATTCATTTAAAAAAAATAAAAAAAATCTTACTGCCCCCTTCATTCTCATTGTGATTCCAAAGACAGAGCTTATCTTAAATTAACACCAGCGCCGTGATATCCTTTGAGAGTACCGACCAGATATTACGGCGTGCCTGGAATGAGCGGGCTGGAAGTGTTTAACAGGCTGGAAACGCCCCCCCTCATCTTCCACTGTTGCATCTGACGTCAACAGTTTCAAGGCCTCACGTTTTTGTAACTGAAGTGGTGTTTATCATCAGGAGAGATCTTTGAAGTCGGAGCATTCATCTCACATCCCCAAATCCGTTTGCTTTTCGGTTTGGTTTACACAAGTTGCCCCGAGTTAAATCTGTGATTGGTTCATAGCAGTTACACATTTGGACTCCTCTTTCCCCCATGTGTTCCCACCTCAGTTTGGTGCGTTGTTTTTCTGACAATAGTCTGGCAGAACTTCTTGTTCTTCTTGTTGTGAAATCCCTCAAAAGAATGATCACACCAGGCATGGACTGAACCGTGTTTCTTAATTGTTTTGATGAATTATTCGAGAAGATCAATATAATTCTTGTGCCTGTCTGCTGAAATCCAACTGAAGTGAAAGCTTTTGTCTACTGCATCCTCATATCTGCTCTGTAAATCACTTGTTCTGAGCTCTACTTAGAGAGAACATCTGAAACCAAAAGGGAGAAGAGCATCACTTTTGTTTCACAATAAAGCACCCTAGTTTTGCATTCATTTAACAGAATACCTTTATCTCTCCATCTCATCTATATGTTTCGATGCAGTCCATATAATTGTGCAGAAAGTGAAGTACATTCAAATAAATTCAGCGCATGTATAAATAATCCTGCATATGATCAATCATTTACATTTAAATTCATACAGAGAATATTTAGGCTGGGGAAACTTTTCACAATCGCTATGAGCAAGAACACGTTGATTCAAAAGAAACATATGGTTTGTAACAAGCCTTGAGACCCTGCATATGTGTGGACACCACATGAAAATAGTGTTTTTTAACTCATATTTTCTGTAAACCAAGACAGTTAGCTTCTGTGTTTGTGTCCTGATTACGGAATCCCGTTACATGTAATCCAATACTCCCCAAGCTTGCTCATACAACCATGCATTCACAATTAAACTTAGAGGAGAACTTGTTTTCTTTCTGATAATGTTCTCAGTTGTTTTAACAGCAAAACAACTTGGTCACAGGAAACACAGAACACTCTCCTGTCTAAAATCCTTTATGTTTGGCCATCACACCCTCATCCCTACAGCATGTGAAGTTTTTGCAGATTTTGATCAGTTTTTTGTTTTGTTATACCTTAAAAACAAACAAAATCAAGGGAATATTCAGGGAACAGCCACAGACTGCAAACAGCATTAGCTTTCCTGCTAGGTTTAGTCCTTATCTAACTTTACTAAATTAATAAACTTCTTGTTATGCACCTGCTCTGCTGCAGCTGCTCAGCGCCCACCAGAGATATTGAAACAATTTTCTGATTGTCAGAATTGTTGATTATGTTGACTCGTTGATGGAATGGCTCAGATACCAGTTAGGCATAAAGTGGCAATTACATTTGGAAAGTTAGATAGGAGTTAGTTCCAAACATTTGTTCCAATAACGCTGAGAGAAAATTCTCTGAAGACAGACACTTCCGATCTCTGATCAGATGAGTTTGGAACTCATCTGATCAGAGATCGGAAGTAACTAGTGTTTTCTAGTGTTAATGCAGTCTGAGGTTATCATAAGAGGAAGTTTGTCAAAAAACATAAAACAATATCAATTATTGGAGTTAAATGGTGTGCTATGGTGTAATGTTTGTTTAATGCTGGTACATTTGTGGTAAATTGTAAAATACAAATAATGTAATGGGTCAATTAGACACACAAATACAGAAATAACAAGGTAAAGAGGTGTAACCTTTGAACAAGGCTGTGTTTTATTGAAATACAGCAGACATCAACAGGTTGTTTTGCTGACCTCGGCAACAGAAACAGAGCTTGAATACTTTTCAAATTCACATAAAAAGAAATAATGATGGCTATATTTGTTATTACAAGTTACAAAACAACAAAGAAGCTCAAGACTTGTCGCCCAAACTGAGGAAAAGAAGTCTAATTTTGGGCCACAAGTTGATTTACAGAAGTTTTTTTGTGACATAAACGAATCAAGCTGGTGCTCTACCTTAGGTTCTGACTTTTGAAAATGCTGGTATATGAAGATAGAAATCAAATGCACCTTGAGTTCTGAAGGGAGGATTTGAAACAGTGTTCAGGTCTGTTTGTGTGCCCAAGGCTGGTTGTTTGATAGTAGCGGTAGTAGAAGAAGCACAACCTCAGTTATGATGCAGGGCTGGCCTTAACTCCCCTTAAAAAGACATTTAATGCAGCTGGTTTCCCAAAAAGAAAGAAATCAAAAACTATCCACAAGATACTAAAATACTTATTATTGTTTAGAATGCCTTTCCATGATTGACACTGCTACAGCATGTGGATTTGCATTTTCAAAAATGTTGGGTTTTAGCCCAAACACTTTTTGGTTAAATGACAGAGTTATCTACAATACTGAGAGTATTTTGTTACAGTAATGTTTGATGAACTCAAGCTTTAAACATCTCCAGGCTTCTTATTTGACAGCTACAAAGCGAGGCCGGATTAAGTCTCCTGAATTGGCAATTAAGGATGGATCAGGACTACCACACGTTACAGTTGAGAAAAACTCAAGGACGTTGTTCAGGAATTCAAATCTTCGGAAGTCTTCATTAACTTGATTTTAGCTATAACATTTTAGAGTTAAAAAGAGAATGAACAACAAGAAAGCCTTTAGATCAATCAAAGTGGAGTTTGAGGATGTAAAAAAAGGTTCCAATCCACATTAAATCAAATAAGGGTTCAGGCTATACCGAAAAGGTTGGGTCTCACTTTTATTATCAAGTTATGGACAATATCATGTTTCTAAAGTCTTTTTTTCGGAAACCAGGCGGATCAAACACATGAACTTCAACATGAGCTATTTTTAAATAAAAAGAAGAAGGATTAGAGCACACTAGTCGGACTATTTTGTCTCCAACACCTAAACCAGGAGAGTTAATTTTATTCCTGAAAAAGTTCATCCAGAACTATGACCAGACATTTGATGCCTCAAGCCGTCGCCAGGAAACAGGCTTCAGTTTGTCTGCCTGATCCTAAAACACATCTGTAGCATGGAGCTTCGCTAACTGCCAAAAATAGTTATCTTGGTTGCTAAAACGCTAGCTAACCAGGAATGTACACAGTTCTCAAGAGAGTTAGCTTGGCTGCTAACATGCAAGCTAACGGGAACGTACGTAGTGTTCAAGTGGGTTAGCTTGGTTGTAACACGCTAGCTAACCAGGAACATGTACACATTCTAGAGAGTACGTTTGGTTGTAACACGCTAACTAACCAGGATAATGTACACTTCTAAATAGAGTTAGCTTGGTTGTAACACGCTAGCTAACCAGGAACATGTACACATTCTAGAGAGTACGTTTGGTTGTAACACGCTAACTAACCAGGATAATGTACACTTCTAAAGAGAGTTAGCTTGGTTGCTAAAAGGACAGTTAGTTCAAACATTGAATCCTTTTTGACTCCTGTCATTAAAGTTTCAGGAAGACCAAAACAGTTTTCTATAAGTTACTAGTGTGCTCGGCTCTTTCCTTTTCAAACAGTAAACCCACAGTATTTTGTGAACTCCTCAAAACAAATACATTAAATCAATCATCAAAAACATATGCTTAAAACTATACACTTGCAAAAATAAAAGTTTCTTGGAATTGTTCTAATGCTGTGTCCATCAATAGCCTCTCTTTGCAGCGCTGCTTTCTTTTTAGGGTTTTTACAGAAGGACGTGCAGCTGAGCGCTTCAGTGCTAACAGTCGAAACAACTATGAAGACTTTAAGCCAGGGGTGTCAAACTCAAGGCTCGGGGGCCAAATCCGGCCCGCGACTTCATTTTATGTGGCCCCACAAGAGCTTGCAAAGAATATAATATGTTTATTATACTGTAACATGCTACTTTACAGAAGCACGTTGCCCATAAACGACATGTCCCACAATGCATCTCAAATTTGACTTTTTCTAAGAATTTGACTTTTTTTTTGTCAAAATATGCCTTTTTTCTTAGAATTAGCCTTTTTCTCATAAATAGATTTCTTTTTCAAAATGTCACTTTTTAAAAAAAAAAATTTTTTTAGAATGTGGCTTTTCTTTTCAAATCATAGCGAGATTCTCACTGAAGAGACTTGCAATTATTTGCCCTAGACTTCTGCTTTCAGACGTAGTTAATTATGAAGTTATTAACCTATCCGATAATAATCCAATGCAGAGGCAATTATGTAATATAATCGTTATTTCTTATATATTCTAAAATGTATATATATGTCTTTTATTAGTCTTAAATTACAACGGCCCTTTGTGATGCAACCCATAATGCTGATGTGGACCCAGGATGACATTGAGTTTGACACCCCTGCTTTAAGCGAAGAAACAAGCATTTGAATAAGAAATCCCCCCCATAGTTGGACGGAGTTGAGATCCCCCCCCCCCACCCTATTATATTGAGCTTTTGTTGAGGCCAGCCCTGGTTTGCATTTGTAAATACAGTATTTCAGATATATGTAGTCTTATCATCTTAAATCTGACCAGGACACTACAGCGGCAGAAGCAATACATAAAGAAGCTCATATTTTGTTTTTACTATTATTCTTTTCTGTTGGAATGGAACTAGTTTTAACTAAGCCTACCAAGCCAACATGTAATGTATTGAATAAAAGGCTATTTCTCTTTTTTTGTTTTGTTTTTGTTTATTACAGGTGTGTAGATGGTGTGCAGGATGACAAAGAGAGATAGACATTGAGAACAATCAACGATGAAAGAAACGAAAGAGATAGAAAAAGAAAGAATGACAGGTAGAAGACGAAGTGAAGGAGAAACGGAGGAAAAGAGATTAAAGTATGATTCAGGCAGCATGATTCTGGATTGTGTTATTTTCACTGTCTAGATTGTGTGTTGTGTGATCGTTACCGTTGAATCCTTCTGCGCTTTGCCACCATTTTGAAAGTTTCTTGATTTTTTTTTGTTTGTTTTCATGTTGTTTTGTTCCTTATCGGTATAAACAAAGACCCACGACAGTCATACAAGCATGTTCGTCGGAACAAGAAGTGCAGATTGGCTTACGTTTCTTTTTTTCCTTTCTTGTGTAGTTTCTCTTTTTTTTAGCAAAAAAGAGTTCCAGACAGAGTGGGTACAATATTAATAATAATATAATAATAATATAATAATAATAGCACTTGACTTCACTTATGCACAGTAAAAAAAAAGAAGAGAAAAGGTCCAAAGGTGCTTTTTTGTGTGTTTTGTTTTTTAAATCTGATTTGATGTGAAGCGAAGTCCCCCCATCTCCTCCTCCTCCTCCTCTCCTCCTCCTACCTCTCTCCTCCTCCTCCTCCCACCTCCTCTCAGCGGGGAAGTGGCAGGCGAAAGCCCAGTGCCGGTGAGATGAAGGAGAAGTGACTGAAGTATTGCCAATTGGTCCGTCTTTTTTTATTTTATCCTGTAGTGGTTCCACGGTGGTTCAGTACAAAAAGAGAGAGACGGAGAAAGAAAGAAAAAAAACGTTGCACACACATACACCACGAATGGCACCATTTTTTCCATCAACAAATAAAAGTACAGAATCTGAGAGAGAGAGGGGTTTAAAAAAGCAACAAAAAAAGAGGAGGGTTTCGGGGGGACCATTTGCTCCCATTTTACAAAATGTAACAAAATCTTCCCGCAAAACTTTACAAATCTGTAGCAATACAGGAAACAAACGAAACAAACAAACATATATATATATCCTATATACAAGAAGAAGAACCCTTTTTTTCAAAAGTGTAGTGAGAATGCAGCAGATCCCAGCTTTGGCACTCGGCGTTTTCGTTTGTCTGTTTTTTTAATCCGCCCTGTCTGTCAGTCGGTGCTGCAGGCACACATTCAGTGCTCCGGTTCACCCTCCTCCTCGCGTCTCCACGGCAACACAGGTCACGTACAACATCACCTCGGCCCAAACATCTGTCCAGTCCAAGAGTTTACAACCTGCTAATGGCCCCACTCCTCCCTCAGAGCGACTTAGAGGAGAAGTTCTGGGTTTCTTTCAGGACCTTACATGAAAGTGCTGATCATTAAACTGGTTTCCTCTTAAAGGCAATGTTCAGAATGTTCAGAAACTCCGATCATTGAGATGTTAATAAAGCCAAACTAGACTTTTAAAATATACATGTCTTTGAATGTTATTTAAACCCCACACTTAAAGGGAATGTTGGATTTGTAAAGGGAAGGATGGGATGTTAAGCAGACAATCTTCTTAATCAATAACTAATCTTCCTTTTTAAGGGAACATGTTCCATTTTTTTCTAACGAAGGCTTTTTTTCTAAAGAGAAGGTTTAAAAAGGTCACCAGCATCACTCAGGTCAGCAAAGACCACATTCTCTTTTTAAACCTGTCCTAAAGTGTTCAGACATTAAAGGTTCCTCTTGAAATGTTGTTCTTGTACTTTGAAGAGAATCTGCTGATGAAGATCATGTGATAGTCCTGAACGCTCTGCAAAGAGTTGTTTTCTTGAAAGTGAATGAAAGCTTCTATTACCATGCATCATTTCCTGATTGTCTTTTTTTTTTTTTTCATGTTTTACAAGGATGAACATTTGGTGGAATAAAAAACAACCCAAATCTCTGATTCTCTTGCAACTTGGATCTCCTTAACTTTTCATAACGAGTCTCATTATGTCATGAGTGCAATGATAATTCATTGTGAGGATGAGTCAGCGTTAATACTAGTTTTTTCATGAAACTGGCACCAAGTGGAAATATTCAGGATCATAAACTCAAAGGGACAATTCAAATTAAAGGGGCAGTACAAACTATTTGTCTTGTTTCATTTGACCTTCAGTTTGCAGCCTTCTTCATAAACTGCTACTGTGATTGGCTGGTGGGACTTGTACACATAAGCCTTATTGATTAGTAAAGACACAACTAATCCAGATCTTAAAGAGGATTTAGGGTTTGTAAAACAAAAATCCCACCTGTGGTTGGATATCAGTTATTCACATGTCAATGGTCTTTCTGATGTTGAGTGTTGCACCTTGTTTCTGCATATACTAGAAGAAGATTCGCTCCTGTAATATTACTGAAAAACTCAACATCCTGTGAGAAATGAATAGAAAGGGATTTGAATTTCGCAGTAGAGGTTGGCTGTTTCAGTTACCTTCACAGATCGTAACCCGGAATGTCTCCTTGCACTCTTATGATTTCAATTAGGGAGCATGTGTGCCCATCGCTAAGATAAAAGGTGCCCAAAGCAAAGCCCCCTTCTTACTCAGGCTTTTGTAGCATCAGGTCTGTGAAGGGTAACTGTGAGGAGGATGTTGTGCGTGATCTGAGATGCGACAATCAAGAGATACAAATTGTAAAAAGAAAAAGATCTTATGATTTTAAAAAACAACTTATTTTCGTTGCTTCATTTTCAGTCCACCTCGTTTTCTTATGATTCCAGCTGAAGCGGCGGTGATGGCGGCAAATCCTACTCGCACCTGAAGTGGACACAAGAAAGCAGAAGGGAGGGGGAAATGTCAGTTTAATAAAAACTCAGACCTTTCCCACCATAAAGAAATTAGGAAATGTACAAAAAAAACTAAAGTGAGGGGATTAAAAAGCAATTGTTGTGCCAGGAGCCGGAGATCTGGTGGCCTGGTGCTGCTGGGAACTGGGACATGATGTGAAATAACTAGGGCCGGGACTTTAACGCGTTAATTAAGATTAATTAATTACACAAAAATTAACGCATAATCCATGTACGAGGGAAAGTGTTTTAAAGTTGTGTTTTGTGTGGGAGTGATTAAACGAGGCAGTCGCTGTGATTACAGACACAGGACAATGGCTGGTAACACACACACAGATGGATTCCTTTTGTTATTTCAAAAAGTGAGCCTTAGCTACATCAACTGCAGAAAAAACATGTTCCTAATTTCCCCTACATACACATATAGCAGTATATTATATTTTGAAGTGTTTCTATTTTTAATTGAATTGCAATTCTTCTTTAACAGTCAGGTTTCGGAGACCTACTGAGTACTTAACGCGTCTTTAATCGCCACTTTGTTCGTGGTGTTTCACCGCCGCACGGCTGCAGCTCCCCTCGGCTTCACGGCGCTTTAAGGGCCGTCAAAAACCAACAACAATAACTATAACAATAAATATAAATATAACGATGTTAGCATACACGCAGCTGAAGAGAAACCTTGTGTAAACAGCAGGGCTGAGCACACGCAGCAGGCTCCAGCTGTGTCGGGGCTCCAAAATAGAGATTGAAGACCTGCTACTTCTGAACTCTGCGCAGAGGAAGAAATGATGGTCAGTGTAGGAATAATAGGAAGTAGAAAACCTTTGAAAGTAAGCCAGAAACTAAACATAGCACCAGGGGATGCTGCTGATTCTGAAGTATCACTTTATTGCTGATCGAAAATGGCCTTTTACTATTTATCGACATACACTTGGGATGCATTTTGATTGGCTGTCAATAATAATATA